TAGTAGGGGGTATTTTGCTCTCGGTGAGAGGCGGATGGCTCCGCCCAATCGTCCCCCTTCTCAACTGCGTGAGAAAGCCTCGCCTCTTGTAGGCAACTGTTTTTCTCTTCTGTGTCCAGAGAAGCATGGCCAGAAGAACTAGACTCGAAATCGTCCTCTGACGAGTCCGAAGAGGACGACTCCTCCCCTCTCCCGGAGGGGCCCGCCTCCTCTCCTTTAAAAGGAGCAGGAGAGAATGTAGAATTGTCAACTGTAAAATGGGAAGGGGTCACTTTGACTCCTCCCTCAGAACTGCCGGCTTTCAAGCCGCTTTGTTTCACTTCCACATCTGGCGCCTGGTCAGATGTTTCACTAATCGGCACCCTGTGGGAGGAGCCGTCTGAGTTTGAGATCCTGGCAGTCTTTTTTGTTCTGGCCATCATGCTCTGCATAGACACAGATACAGTCGGACTTTGTATAAAGGGCAAAGGGCAGGCGGCACTCCTAGTCCTAAATTCAGCCGTCCCCGGTGACCGGCTGATCACTAACCTAGGTCGTGTCGTGTGCTTCTGTGGTGCCATTTCAAAAAAGAATAAAGTAAAGAGAAAATTAAGAGTAAGAGAACCGACGATTACCTGAACGAGTGACGGTTGATGAAGTTCTGAAAATCCTTTGCAGTCGGCTTGTCAGAGCAGGCGGTAGGCAGAAAGGGTCCAAAATGTCAGAGCAAGTTCAGGGGTCCGAATGTTCTCTCACAAAGTTTTCAAGTGTGAAAATGACCGAAGTCAACACTCCTTTATATAGGTGAAGTGAGAAGGCGAAGGGTCACTTCCAGAATTCAAAATTTTGGCGGAGAATCTCTCGGCCTCTCGCCGAGTGACACCTGTAGCAGGTCGTCGCCTGTTACAGGGCGATACCTGTCACAGGTAACACGTGACCAGTCACGTGCCACCTGTGAGGGGCAAATGATTAGGGGATTTTTCCCCACCAATCACCATCTGACAAGTGGACCAATCAGGTTCCGCCATGTGTCCGTCACATGGGCCAATAGGAGCCTGCCACGTGTCAAGCAATGATCCGTCCACCATGGACCAATTACGACACGACACGTGTCCTTCCCATGACACCTGGGATAACCGGTCACCTAGGCCCAACTTCCGAGGGAAGCCCAATCAGCCCAAGGTTAACCTAAACCTAGATTGACACGTTTCCCGAGGTTATAAATACCTCCCTTAATCCTCATTAAGGGAGGGAACACGCTAAAAAGCAGATTACACACATTAAACACTCTCACCTAGAGAGACCCAATCACTTTAATTTCCGCATTAATTACTCCTTAATCAAGTACTAACTTGACCGTCGGAGGCGGATCTCCAATCATCCGGAGCATCCGTTTGTTTTGCAGGTACAGGCGTCCGGTTCCAGTCTCGGAATTGTAACTCTCCCGCAGGACATCAGAAAACCCCGAAACACTTCTTGCATGTTTTGTGAGCGTCAAACTCCTTATGACATTGTTGTGGCAAACTTTCAAAAATCATATTCTTTGAATGTACAAAGAGTATCACTTCAGAGTTCAAACCATTGCTTTTAACCACAGTTTCCTATAGTCTTCCATATGCTGGGGATTGATTACTCGTATGAACAATAAAGTATGATCTAGCACAAGCATACTTATGATTTGCCTTGGTGACAGTAATATTGCCCTGAAGTTAGTTAACTTGATCTGGGATGAACAAGTTAGGCAATGATATACTTTCAGAGTATGATGGAAATTTTCATCCTCATCTTTTTGCTAGATTTCTCAAAATAGGTCCATTTTCATGTTAGGAGCTGGAACTAAAAAAGAAAGCAGAGGAAGAACAAAAGGCAAAAGAGATGGAAGCTGCTGCTGCGGAAGAAAAAGAAGCAGAGGCTACAAGTCCAGAGCTTTTAAAGGCCAAAGAGAGGCTAGAAGCACTCGAGGAAACTTTGAAGGAAATTGTGGTGAAAACAAAGAAAGGACCAAGTGACGAAAAGAGAAAAATTGCAGATCAATATTAAGAGAGAGTAGATCCTAATAGCAGATCAGACGATAGTAATATTTCTGCCAAAAACAAACCCACAACCCAGGAGGCAGCTTCACGACAGCCACAGAAGCAACTGGATAGCGAAAAGAGTGAGTCTCAAGAAGTTGATAAAAAGTGAGTTAATCGTTAGAAAAAGCTGGTTTCTTGCTGCAAGTTTTTTTAACCGCATCCTATTTATTGTGCTGAGAGTTTCCCATCACCCCCCCGGGCCAGGAATTACACTTGTTAACATATTGATGGTGGAATAATCAAATCAATCAAAAAATATATTAGTGAAATAAAAGTATAGTTATGCTTATGCTTGGTCTTAATTTTCTTTCATATCCTGTAACAGGAATCAACTATGAGTCCTGGTGTGTAACAGGAATCAACATAGGGATCCTACTGTGTAAGAGCTTAAATTGCATTCTGCAGGAATCAGGACAGAGAAGCTTACCCAAAATTAATCAACAAATGGTTATCCTGGCCTTATTTTCCCCTTACACTTGTATACTCTTACCATCTTGATAATCCTTGTAATTTTGCGCACCGCAATTGGTGTAGATTACAACTGTTCTTCCTTAATACCCAGTGGGAAGCTTAAGAATGGTAGGGTAGTTAATTTGGGGCTTAAGAGGCCCAGGTATTTTGGCCACCTAGCTTTGGAGCTCCTTTGTGATACTTCCCAAGCCAAAGACTATTCTTCTTCTTTTTTTTTTTTTTTTTTTTTTTTTTTTTTTTTTTTGTGCTATACGTTGGAGTAGAAATTGAAGTGCATTACTATTGTTATTATGTACGCGACATCTTTAGTTATTCTCTCCAATGGCCGTTCATTCAACTTCGAACCTTCTTCGTTCGAATTTTAGGGTTAAAGGTTTTTAGGTGAATGTTGGTGGTTTTGAGTGGGTAAGGGTTTTTTTTTTTCACGGGGTGGGTTTTCGGGATTTCGAGTGGGTTGTGGCGCCTGTGTGGGGGCTGATTTTGAGGGGTGGGCGTGATGTCAGGGTGGTAAAAAGGTGGTTTTGGGTGGTAATGTTGTTTGGGGTGGGTGGGAGGTAAATTTGAGGTAGATAAGGGTACGTGGTATTTGGATGAGTAGCGATAGTTTTGGGGTGACAGTGATGGTGCGGGTGGTTTCTGTGTAAGAATCGGTGGTGGTGAGGTGCTGTTTTTGGTGGAGGTGGTGGTGGTGGTGGTGAGGTGTTGGTTTAGGTGGAGGTGGTGGTGGATTGGTGGTGGAGGTGCATGAATGTTGCATAGTAAAGTGGATCGGAAATCCTCTTACTAATGGTTAATTGCCATTATTGCAAAATATACTTATCATTAATGTGAAGATGAGTTAGAATTCGAATTCCTAATGAAAATATATTTGCGGGAATCGGAATAGATGAGGAAAGATGTTGAAAATTCATTTCATACGAGAGTTGGATATGCATTGATGTAACAGGTTTGAAAGGTAGAGATAATCATCAACAACCCAACCTGCCTGAAAAAACTACAGATTTGGGCAAGCGCAAAATATAGTACTTTTAGTTCAAATCTCGAGCCCGACCCAAAATAAAAACACAAAAAGGTTGTTTTTCACTTGATAAACTCGATATTATTTTACGTGTTTGCACACAAGATTTTATATGAAAGTTTGGCCTAGCATGTTCGATTTTTTTATATCACCAACATCACATTCCATAATGTAGGTGTGCCTTATCCAAAGCATGTTTACAAATGCATCAAAAGGGATATATGTGGAAGAACAATAAATGTAGAATGGTTTAATGCTCTTAAAAATGATTTATAGTATTTATGTCTTAGGGTACATGAAGGATGGGGAGGAAATACAAGTTCACTTGTAATTAATGGCATGATTTTACGCTTTTCAAAGGTAAAGCAACAAGGTGATAACTGATAAATCTAGACTCCCTCCTAAAAACATTGGTCAATATTTGTAAAAGTAAGATAAAAAATAGGAGGAGAGTGATTTGGAATAATGATTTTGATGTAAATTTAATTAATTAAATCCGCATATGCTAGAAATTGAGGAATATGGTTGCATTCCCTTTCCATAGTATCAAAATATATGCAATGTATTTTCAAATATCGAAGATGAAATAGTGGCGTGTGCATATGTTTGAAGGTTGTATCATTTGAAAGATTATGTGCAGGAGATCACATGCATGTCATTGAATTTGCTTTTTATGGACAATGCAAAAAGATATGAATATAATAAAATAATCTTATATTATATTTAATGCAATTAAATTTGGTTGATTTTTGCATAAATGGAACATTACTATTGTTATGTTAAATTAGGATAAATAGGGTGATTCTTATACAAAAACTACTTGGAAAACGTGCACCAAGAGAGTTAGTATCATCTTTACACAAGATTAAAAGAGTAACCGAGGCTCAGAAGTGTAGTTATTTGAAACCTAGCAGAATACTACACACCCTAAAAGCTTCTATGACCAACACTTGGTATCCATGCAAGTATGCAACCATTGAGATGGTCAAAAGTGCTACGGATGTGTAACATGTGTTTCACTGAATTAATTAAGGAGAGTAACTGACTACTATTTAAAACTTTAAACCAATTTCTGTTTTAAACTAACTCTAAGATAAATCGTAAAGGACTATGTGCGATACCTGTTTGAATAATGCAATTAACAAAAACAAAAAAAGATAAAATTAATTTTAGATCTACTTTGTTTTATTTTAATTTGTAGAATAGAAATCTCTCCTATCTAGTCTACTATAAAATTTTAGTTGGTTTAGATACAATCGTGCAATACAACTTTCGCAAAGTCTTAAGTGAGGAGAGCATGTATATTAGTGTTGTTGGTTGTGTACAATAATTGCACATTGCTAGTTGTTTAATTTTAGAAAGTAGAAACGCAGGTCCAAAATTTACATTGCCTGTCGTAAACCTATATTATCTATCCAAATATATGCGAGGACCATATTCTAATAATGAAAACATGAAGAATATGATTACAACAGTTAATATCTTACCTCCTTTTATTTTCAAAACCAATAAAAATATTCTTTAGTATATATTTTTAGATAATACTAAAATACGATTCCTTGTTACTTTCCCCTTTAGAAACCCTACCATACCATATTCATCCAGCCTCTTTCCTTCCCTCCCAACAAAGAGTTAAAAATAAAAAAAAACTTCCAACTTCTCACTAATTATTCGCTCTTCTCTCAAACAGAACCGGAAAAAAAAAATCTATAAAAAAAAGCAAACAAAATCCACAAAAAAAAAAAAAACAAAAAAAACTACCAAATTTAGAGAGAGAAACAGAAAGAGGGTTTTGTTCTGTGTAATCGTAGAGAGAGAAAGAAAGAAAGGGCCTTTTATTTTAACCCCCATTTCATAATCCTGTTCTTCTTTAGTTTCGGCGGATTCTTGAGCGAGTAGCAGCCAAGAAGAGAGAGAAAGAAAGAAGAGAGAGAAAGTAAAACTGTAACCCAGAAAACCCAGAAACTGAAACTACCCAGAATTTGTTTGTTCAGATCCATTGAACTAATTTAAAGAGATGGGTGTTGGAAGAGGTGGGAATAATAATAACAATGGTGGGGGTGTTCCAACTTCATCAAAGAAGATGATACAGAGTTTAAAAGAGATTGTCAACTGCCCTGAAGCTGAGATCTATGCTATGCTTAAAGAATGTAACATGGACCCTAATGAAGCGGTTAATCGCCTCCTTTCTCAAGGTTTAATTTTTTTTTTGGGATTGTTTTTTTAATTTTTGAATGAGTTAGATTTGAATTTATTGTGTTTTGTTTTGTGGGTTTTGGTTATTTTTGTTTAATTTTTGAATTTTTAAATTCCCTTTTATGTGGGTTGTCTTAAATTTGTTTCTTGTCCTAGGTTTTGTTTCCTCTTTTGGAATTTTATTTCTAATTTGGGGGATTTTTAGGTTTTTTTATTGGGTTGTGTTTTGTTTTTCTGGGTATTTTGGGTGAAGCAAAATTCAGTGTTTCATGTTGTCAGTTGGAGTTGACAGTTTGTGGTGATTTTATTAGGTTTGTGAACTATGAAGTTTACTATTTTGTGTCTGTTTATATTGATTTGAGGAATTTGATAGGTTCAATTGGTATTCTAAATCATTATTGGCTTTAAGTCTGTAGTTGTATGTGGTTTTTGAGTTTATGTACTCTTGAAAAGATCTGTTTTTATCTAAATCAGTGTTCTTTTTGATTGTGTTCCTTCCGTTTGTAGCCTTGATGAATCGTTGGCTCATGCTCGATATTGTTACAGTGGATTTTGGGAAACTTTAATTGTTACTGAAGCTTTTGGAAAAATTTGATCCTTTTTATCTCAAGGGTTAGCTTTTGTTTTTATTAAATATGTTTTTGGAGGATTTCATGATACCCGATGAATGTCAATAGTGAAATTTGAGGTCATAGAATAATTTTCTGTTATAAAGAATGTGCCACCTTCTTTGGCCTAAAAATTTCTTTTTGTAGCAATTTTTGTTTTATAAAAGTATAGCCGTGTTTATGTTGATTGTAAGAGTGGATAAGATGCTTGCTTTGTAATAATGGCTTGCCATTGGATCATCTTATGTCTTAGTTTGCTTTCTCTCAAAATCACTTGCTAAGTTGCAATTGCCTTCGGAATTTATAAATTGTTCAGTGTATGTTCTAAATAGCCCTTTTAACCTTTGTTGGCCCTTGAACTTACTCTAATTGAAGTTATTGGTTATACAGATCCATTTCATGAGGTGAAGAGCAAACGTGAAAAGAAAAAAGAGGTGCGCTTGCAGATGACACATTGATATTCATTTTTTTGCTGTAAATGTTGTTTTCAGTTTTTCACTGCATTTTACATTGCATGTACCTTGCATTAAAATTATTTTGGCGCTATATTTTCTTTAAATTGTTAATGGAGGACTGGGGGGTACATGTTTGTGCGTATGGCTATGCGCTGCTTGTTCTGTGGGCTTTTTACATTTATTCAAAGCTTGTATACTTTTTTCAATCATCCAAATTTAATGCAAGTTTCCTTGTACATAACGGCCTTGAATAAATTTTACACTATTTCACTAGCACAAATGTGATCAACTCATTGGAGCTTTATTGTTTGTTTGTGTTATTATTAAACGAATGTTTGCTTGCTTCAGACTAAAGATGTGGGGGATTCAAGGGTTCGTGGTACGAGTAGCACTTCCACTCGAGGTGGAAGGGGTGGTGCAGACCGCTATTCCAGTCGCAGTAGTACAGCCCAATATGGTACTTCTGGTAAGGTTATATTTTCCATTATTAAAGTATTTGATGGTGATCAATGACATTCTTGAATTCATTCCTGATTATTGGTTTCATTATTCCAGACTCTGGTGCTTCACGTGGTAAATCTACGTACAAGAAGGAAAATGGACCAACTCCTTATTTAAGTTCTACCATGGGTATGGCTGGACATAATGTAAACAGGCGGCAGCCACCTATCTTGTATGCCTCCCCCCTTCTCTTTCTCAACACTGTACTTTATATATATATAGCCAATCCTTTTGGTGACCTAGCTTATTTCATTAGGCTTGTTGCTGTCACTTTCTCTTCGTTATATATCCTTTTTCACTTGATGACAAGTAAATACCATTATGCATATTTTACATGAAGTACTTTTGTATCCTTGTTTGCAAATTATTATAAACTGAATCTAAAGCATCTTTGTAACCCCCTTATTAGTATCCTTGGATAATAAAATTTGAATGGGTAGGTAAGGAGAGGAGGATAGAATCAGGTTTTACAACAGGGAAGGGTAGGAAAGGTAATAGAAGGATTTTCCTCTCCTTTTTTTTACTTAGGGTGGATAGAGTTGGAGGGACAATATGCCTCCACTTCTCTATTCTCCTCCTCTCCATTTAATAGAAGGATTTTCCTCTCCTTTTTTTTTTCCTTAGGGTGGATAGAGTTGGAGGGACAATATGCCTCCACTTCTCTATTCTCCTCCTCTCCATTCTTCTCCCTTTCTTTGCATTTTTGCTTTTTTAAAGACATTGTTATAGGCTTTTTGTAGAGTCAGCAATTTATGAAACATATTGGTATTTTCTAATGCATTGGCTGGGTCTAAAACTTGAACGGCTACGGGCTACCTCCCTTTGTTGTTTCTTCATAGGTTTACTGGTATTTTTACTGGTGTTGCTATCCATTTGGGGTTGAGCATTGCAAGGCAAGGGTATTTTCCCTGTATTGTCTTTTATACTTGAGTTTGCACGAGTTTACAGCAGTTGGCATGTCTGCATGAGATAGCTGATCTTGTTAATAAAATATGACAGTCAAATCATAATGTATCAAATTTGGTTCAATAATTCAAGTGAACATAGTTTATGCAGCATACGATCCAAGATAATATAATGTTGGCATCTGTTCATGTTAGTAATGTTGGATTATTTTTGTTAGCCTGTTCTACATCTGGTTCTATTGTTACAATGTCTTTTTATGCAATCGAGAATTGTAATTGAGAATTCTGGAGATTGGTTTAATGTGAAGTGCTATGTTTTGATTTATTGTTTTCGTTATTAACCCTTTATTTAATTTTGACTGGGTTTGTCATTTTTTTTTCTTTCCCAATGTAGATTTTTCTGGTGTCTGCACTTTTTTTCCTGGTCTCCCAGCTATGACTTTATTGTTTGTATGTGAAACAGTTGTTTAGAATGTGATAGTCAATTAGTGTATATTGATATAAAAATCGCACTCGTGGATTGTCTTGTTACTCATTTTGGGAAGCTATTGTCTTTGCTGCAGTGATGCTACAACAGATAATGCATTCTCATATAATGCAGCTGAAACATTAGTAGTTGCACCATCTTCTGGCTTTCAGTCTGCCTGGTCAGGCATGCCTGGTCAAGTGTCAATGGCTGACATTGTTAAGATGGGAAGGCCACAGGGAAAAGTCAGCAGCTCTGTGAACCCATGTCAACAGCATGTTAATGATCAGCACCGCTTGGAATCTCCTGCAGTATGTGCACCTCGTGATTTGCATCCGTCACAAAATTATGCTGCCAAAGTTTTAGAAGGGAACTCAGACTCAGGGGCTTCTGGACATGTACCTCCTAATGATGACTGGCCCCTAGAGGAAGAGCCACCTGCTGCTAGTGTATCCTCCATTGTGGAGCCCTCTGTAGATTCTGAACGATATGGTGACCCATATGACAGCACAAATCAGCAGTTTAGACCTCAATCTGATGAGGTTCGATTTGAGGAGGTTGATAATGTTGACAACGCACATGCAAGCTATGCTCGATCTGTGCCAGGATCTAATCAAAATATGCAGGAGGATAACTCTGGTTGTGCATCTGGTTTCGATAACGATTTGTACCAAGACAACAGCGCATACCAGGTTCATCATCAAGAAGGTACATACTGCATATAATGCTGTAAAAGTGAAAATAAACTGCTGCTGCTATAATTTTATTGAAGTCTTTTGGTTAAAGTATATAGTAGTCTCTTGTAGATGTTAATTGTCTTATTGCTTTTTGGGATTACTTTTTTCATTCCTTCCTTGATGTAGTTAGATCTCAGGCTTTTCCACTACTGATTTTCTTAGCACATTTTTTCAAATTGTTTTCTTGTTGAAATTCCTTATGAACAAAGAATCTTAAAATCCCAAATGGATCCTAAGTTTTTGAAATCCCTTATGAACAAAGAATCTTAGAATCATGTTAGAGTAAGTATCATTGTGCTGGAATGTGTTAATGTTGTGAAACCTATTTTTTACTCAAGGGTGAGATAATAATGGGTGTGTTCTCAACTTACCTTGATTTATTGACATTAAATAAATTTAGATAAAGTGTGTCTAGACAAAATAAGTTTCAATTAGTTTATATACTCTCACAAGTTAAAAGATGTAAGTTTAGATAAAAGCTTAGATGCTCATATTAGTTCAAATAAGTTATGATAAATTCAGGTAAGTCTAAACAAGTTGAAAAGAATACACCTTAAGGTATCCAGGGAGTGTATGGGATATGGGGTTTGTTGTAAACCTACTTTAAATTAAATGTAGTTGATGTTTTTAAATGAATTGATGATTGGGTAATATATTTTAGCGTTTTCTACTGAATCATTCATTAATGTCTGTACATCTCTTCTATATGTTGCTTATGCTACTATCTTATACTATCTTTGATTTATTTTCTTACTACAGTTGAAGATGCCAGTGCATCAGTATCAGATGTGACCAACAATTTTCAGAGTCTATCTTTGCCGAAGGAGGAGGAGGAGGAGGATACCCCGTCTGAAGAAGATGGTCCTGCTGTGAAAATTCCTGATCACCTGCAAGTTCAGTCTGCTGAATGCTCTCATTTGAGCTTTGGTAGTTTTGGGACTGGAATAAATGCTCCATATTCAGGTTCTTTTGGCTCAAGAGCTGTGACTAACAATGAAGAGGATGCTTCTTTATCTGCTGATGCTCCATCTGCTGTGCATTCTCAAGCTAGGTGTGCCGAGTTTTGTAACTTAATCTTTCATCTTATATGTGCTGCAATGATATCTCATATACTCTTGTTTTCTCCTTAGAAATCCTGAATACTACGAGGATGAACATCTTAGAACTGCATCAGATGTTAGCTCTTCTCACAGAATAGGTGGTAGCTCTGGCAATTTTGACACTCCTTCAGCTCCACAGCAGGATATGTTGAAACATGAGGCTCCTGAACTTGCACAAGCCAACCAGTATTCTTTTCCTTCGTCCACTGCTAATTATGGTTTTGACAACAGCCAACAGTTGAATTCATCCTTTGGGAATTCACAAGCTAGCTCTCAGATGCAAGGTCTGCCTTCTTTGTCAGGTGTAATGGTGAGGATACTTCAATCTCTGTGCTTCTTTTGTTCTTTTGTTTAAGAATGTGATTGCCAGATCTGTTGTCTACTGTCTGTTGTTTCCAATAGGTTGCAAGTTCTATATGTGAAGGTCTAATATGCCCACAGGGTCTGACCTTGTTTCCTTTTGTACTGTTTTGGTTTTATCACTCCAGAAACATATGCTACACTATAAGTTGACGACTTCATTTACTTGGCATTATGAAAAATACCATCCATTGAATGCTCTTATTTTTGAGATTATTTGAACTAACCTTAAATTAGGCCTGCCAAATGATCGCCACCATTCCTTATGCTTTTGTTATGTTTTATCATTGGTATTTGTCTCATTGAGCATGTTGGGAGGCTTGGGGAGAAAGAGGGGGGGGGGGGGTTTCTTCTCAACAATCATTCTTGCCTTACAGTGTCTTTTTTCCTGTTTTGTTTTTTTAATGCAATTAAAGACTCTAACAGTGGCATCTTGCGGTTAATAGTGGACTTTGAATTTCACGATTTATACCTATTTTACATTCTAAATGCTGGTTGCTTAGTGGTTGTGCATTTAGATGGATGCACTGATGATGCTTCTGAAATGGTTGAAGTTCTATATGATATTGAAAATGTATTTCGAGAAGTTGTTTGATTTAATGCATTGGTTAGTTGGGGTATTGCAGGAGCAATTACGTAGTTAGCAGATGCTCTAGACCTATATGTACATTTCTTTGAAGTAGTCATTCCATTCTTTATAGATGTCTTACAACTCTTAACTGGATTTCCAGCTCAGATATTACAATGTTGTAAATATGGTCTATTGGTCTTCACCATGATGTTGGATTTGTTTGGTTTAGGGGATGTTGTTGAGTATGTGGTTTGTTAATGGTATGTAGGTTTTTTTCCGGCAAAAGTAATAGTTGGTGATTCACTTTTGAGGATAAGGCCTTTTTGTTATTCTAGTGTATGGCAAATGCAAAAGTAGTGGATCAGGTGTTCTTTGCTTAGGTCATCACAGTAATTTTATTTATTGCAGTACCTATACTTTAAAGTAATATCACTGGCATAGCAGTTTCCATTATAAATTTGTGATAGTGTCCTACATTCAGAATGTCCTAAAATGTTGTGGTTTTGTATTGCGCACTGCACAAGCTATAGATAGTTTGTCAATCTTAAGCAACCTAGCATTTCCTATTAATAGCTTATACTATTTGTACTTGGTATATTTTTTGTGGCTAGACTTTGTAATGACGGTTATTGAATCCTTTTTTTTTTTTTTTTTTTTTTGGGGGGGGGGATATAGAGGCCTTTGACTTGAAGGAACTTAACTTTGATATAATTTCCTTACTGTGGTGTTCTCTAGTTTTATCATGATACAAATACTTGACCTTTCTCTTAAATTTTCTGGTAGGTGTTGGGCTTAATATGATTTCAAAATGATCTGCCTTTGGTTTAGCAAAATTTGTACTCCATCTCATTTCTAGCTGTCCCAAATAACGTTTTATGGTCTCTTAAGACACAACTGTAATGATTAATATCTATTAAGTAATAATAATTAATACTTTTATATATAGATATTTTGAAAATTTTACCATGAAAAAGAAACAGAGCAGTTGGATGGAGAGTGTAAAATTTGCTATTGTGGACATCCCCATAGACTTTAGGCCTTGTAGGTAAAATTATATACTCCGCAGTTGTGTTTAATTATGTTTTCTTACTTCTCGAAACTCTGGAATATCAAACTGCTGATTTTTTTTCTAATTTTTTTCATTTTTTAGATTCTACTTTATTGTTTATGATGACCACGCATCTTGTTTTATCTCTGATGCATCTTTCCCTGAAAAAAAAAACATCTTTGCTTAATTGAAGAAAGAGATAATACCTTCTTTCTCCTCGACAATCAAGTCGACTGAACATCTCAGCCATTGACGGGAATTTCGCCCAGCCGTAGTAGCCCTTTGGCTGGGTATTGGGAGCAACTCCTGAGGCAACTCCTTATGTCAAAAGCAAAAGAGAAAGAGCCCCTGGGGTTCCATATTCTAGGAGCCCAAACTAGCAGGGTGGAGGAGTAAGGAGGCGCCAGTCATTTACCCTTTTCATAACTTAAATACTTAGTGTTAATGCGCCTTTGATGTTTTTATGTATCTTCCTTGTTCCTCGCTCAGTTTGTCTTCTTGTGCGTGTTGTCAAATTATATTTTCCTCTCATTTATTTCTTTCTTTTGCAGCCGTATTCTAACACTTTGCCCAGCACACTCTTGGCATCAAATGTACAACAGCCCCTTAGGGAGGCTGATCTTTCATATTCCCCTTTCCCCATTTCACAATCTATGGCATCGAAGTATAGCAACTCAGTCTCATCTATTAGTGGTCCAACTGCTTCAATGGCTGAGGTAATTTATTTATCTCTTTTTTCCTTGCATCATTGTAAACAATACAATTTTTATTGCTGGTAATGCTTTGGTATTGCACTCACTTCCCACAATATCCAAGCAACATTCAATTTCTCATATGGCAAAATCAATCAAACAAATTAGGCTCAAGAGATAAACCTGCTTTCTTCTTTTATTCAGATAAAAAGTTTCCTTTTCATAAAGTGCTGATATTTTGTCACTTTACATTTTTTTCGAGGCCTTAACTCTTCTGTGTTGTAGCGTGGTGATTCTAAGGTCTTCGCCCTCCTGTTTTCTGAAAGTCTTCAAATCTTTTTGTTTTATTTATTTAAAAAAATCAAAGTTGAGCTATTGTAACATCAAAGTCTGTTTTTATATGTTACAACTTTCTTTATATTAACATTTTGCTGGGTACATTTTACCTTTAAATTCCATTTGTGGGCATAGACTCTTCAAAAATGCTGCGCCTCTAGGGACTTTGAGCTATTCAATTATTTGTCATTGTTCTTGAAATAAATTACCTTTTCCTCTTTTTGTCCTTTGTTTGCTTGATAATCTTGATTAAGGAAAGTTTTTCTCAAATATTATAGAGGCCGCCTTACCAAATGCTCTAATTTTGCAATCTATCTGGACGACTTACTCTAATAATTGATCTACATTCAGGCAATGAAGACCGGTAACTTCTCAGCTGCCCAGCCAACTCAGAATCTACCTGGTGGCAGCAGCATCTCTGGTGGAGCTGCTCTTCCACAACATTTGGCTGTGCATCCGTACTCTCAACCTTCAGTGCCAATGGGCCACTTTGCTGCTGCTAATATGATTGGTTATCCATTTTTGCCTCAGAGCTACACATACATGCCATCTGCATTCCAGCAAGCATTTGCCGCGGGTAATAATGCTTATCCTCAATCCCTAGCTGCAGCAGTGCTTCCCCAATACAAAAACAGTGTTTCAGTCAGTAGCTTACCCCAAGCTGCTGCTGTTGCCTCTGGATATGGAGCGTTTGGGAATTCAAATAGCATCCCAAATAACTTCCCACTGAATCCTCCAAGTGCTCCTGCTGGCACTTCTATGAATTATGAAGACCTTTTAAGTTCACAATACAAAGATGCTAGTCATCTTCTCTCTCTGCAGCAGCAGGTATTCTTTTCTGTTTTTTGTATTTCTAAGTTTTTCCTTCCTCTCAGTTCGTTATTTTTTTTGAAATATCTGGAAGTGGGGTATGCGATTTTTTATTTTATTGTTTTAAAGCATATGCAAATGGAAGTGCGGATTGGGTTAAGTGTTCACGAACAGGATTATTATTTCACTGTGAATTGTGAAGTCAACTTTTCTTTCTTCAAGTCACTTTTCTGTTTACAGTAATATTTTTGTTATTGTAATATTTATTTATTTATTTATTTTTTTTATATGTACTTTTCCAAACTAATTTAGTGACCATCCCCCCATTGGATGCATGCTGAAAATTAAAGGGTAAAAATCAAGTGATCTGATACTGTAAAAATTTGTTTTATGGTCGTATGTATTCTTATCCTATGAAATTGCTCAATATCATTGATCAGATCTCAGATTTAAACTTCTGTATGGTTTCAGGGTGCCGGTTCCAGAACAATGTCAGGGGTTCCAGGGAGTACATATTACAATAGCTTCCAGGGGCAAAACCAGCAACCTGCTGGATTCCGGCAAAGCCAGCAACCATCACAGCACTACGGACCTCTTTCTGGGTATCCCAATTTCTACCATTCTCAAAGTGGGCTCTCTCTTGATCACCAGCAGCAAATGTCGAGGGATGGATCCCTTAGCGGTTCTCAGGGACAACCGCCTAAGCAAAATCAACAGATATGGCAAAACGGCTACTAATTAAAAATCCCCTCGTGCCCTCCAGGTTTTTCAGGGTCTTTGTAGTAGTAGTACTTTTTAAGTCCAGAAATTCGGCCAAAATATTAGGGGCTTAAATCTGTACTGAAGGACTGGACTTCTCTACTGTTTCCTGTGCCTGGAGGTTGTACTTTACCCTTTCCCCTCCCTATTTTCCAGTTTGTCTAACATAGGAACGATGTCGATGTTGTGCTAATCCATGGTAGTCGACCTTCGTGTTCTCAAGCTCCTCCTAGTTTTATCATCCAATAGTGAAAAGTTTATGTTTCTCTGTGTCTCCATTTGTGTGCTGTTAATCTGTTACCAAAAGCTGCTTTATAGGTTTCAACTTTCATGGCAATGCAGGGCGAGGGTCTCATATTTCTCATCACGAAGAAAAATAATTTGTCAGTATCATTCTAATAGTTTGATATAATGAAATATATACATAATAATGGAAGAGCAACCTAGAACATTGAAAACTTCCAATTGCACAAACCTAGAAAAAGCCTAAATATTCGTACAAACAACCTGGAATAGAATTGACTCCAAACTACATAAATTGAACTGATAACCTTGAAAATTTTAAATCAACCAAGAAAAACAAGAACTCTAAATCATGAGAATTTGAATAAATAACACATAGAAATTTGAACGAAAACTATTAATTCTACCATAATTCAAATATGTGTATTATATGGTGATGATACACTACGAGCATGTTTGGTAAGAGTTTATTCTGAGTTGAAAACTATTACCATTAGTCTGTTACCAATGGTTTTGTTAGAAGTTTGTATAAATATTGCCATGATAGGGATAAACCATTCTTTTTTGAAATTGTTACCCATCTACAATAGGTGGGTTGTATAAAAATTACCAACATTAGAGTAATGGTTTTCACCTATTTGTTACCTCTCTAAAACCTAAACTAATAAATACCCTTACCCTTCTCAAACAAAAAGAAAGGGCTTAGGTTTAAGTGAATTCTTTCCATGGTTAAACCAAATAAATGAAAAGGTAAGAGTTGAATAATTGATTTCCTCCTTATTAATTTTCTTTCTAGGCCATTTTCAATATTTATACAACACCGGGTAAGATCATGTAAGATTATGGAACAATTTCCTTCCAAACCTTGTAAGGGCTCATCCCACTCAAAGAGAGAGAATCGAGAAACATTATAGGGTAGATGATGATGTTTTCATTTATGCATCATGGAAGGGTTCGCCAGAAGTTCACTGTGCTACAGTTTTCAATTTTCTCCCGATTTTGTTTTCTATTTTTAAATATGCTTGTGACAACTACTAATATTAGTACTTGGGAAATAATTTAGGTTTTCTTTAAGTTTCTAAAAGGAATCATTTGGTGGACAACAAGGTGCGTGTGTGAGAAATCACTAAATCAACTCAAGCCAGGATGTATCTCCGCCGCTTTTGAGAGATCGCTTTGTGAGGGGAAAATATTATCTTCTCAATGCATCTTTTCTTTTATCCTCCATGAAAGCTAATAAGAAAAAATTATCCCTTGCCCTGTGAAGTAGGTTACGTTAACCTAACTATGTATTGATATTTGCCATCTTCTCTACTTTTATTTTTTCGTAATATGCTTTATACTATCTCTGTTCTCTTTTATTCTACTCACTTAATATAGATACACATCTTAAGTAATTGTTGAATAATGTAAATGGATGTAATATAAAGTAAAAGATGAGCGTGTAAAAATGTGGGTTTGTATAAGAAAAAAATGAATAAAGTAAGAGAAAGAGCATAAAAAGGTGTAATTATTTTGGGGTTGATCTGAAGTCTGAAAGTCTTGGTAAATGAAGTATGTCATAGGGTTATGCTTAAATTGAGAGTAACAAATTAAGGTGGTAATTATAGTCAAACTAGAAAAAATATAAGTGATTAGCGGTGTTGTTGTAGGGAGATACCGTGTTGATAAATGATGCAAGTTATTTGTGAGAATTGTGACATGAGGAAAAGAGTGAGGTGGAGGAATTATTACCCTCATAATGAGAGTAATAGTTAACCCCCCAACCCCCCCCCCCCCCCTAATATTATCCCAAATGAGGGTAATGGTAAATGGTTCTCCTTTCTTCATCTATCACCACACCACCATTACATAAATTTCCTTGCAATGCACCATCACTACCTCCTCCTCCCCTATATTTACTTTCGTTTTGTACTTTTGTTTAGTTTTACTTTTATTACCCTAGTAATATATCACTCTCAATCTAAGCATGCCTCTAAAAAGAATAAAACAAAATGAGTTCAACATAAAAGAACAACCTAAAATAGAAAGTTATTAATAAAAAAAAAAAAGAAAAAAGAAGGGAGTATATATATTGATTGTTTATCTTTCGCAAAAATCAAACATCTTACCTAAATCAATTGATCTGCTTAAATTTTCATTTCCAAGATCCACCAACAATGGAGAAGTAAATTCAAAGCAATAGGATCAATTACTCTAATTATTTAGTTTATAAAATTTGCTACAAAAGTATAACAGATAAAGAAATAATAAGGAAAAATTGCATTTTAGATTTTATTAGTAAGAAAAATATCATTTTAGATTTTACCACCTCTAAAAAGATCACTTTCTAATTTTGCCACACTTTTATAACTTTATTTTAAAATTCTACACTATGAATTGTAAAAAAAAAACCACCTCTTAATGCTTGTTTCTCGTCATGATTTCGGCTGTGGGGCCCACCTTTTTAGTTTCTCTCCCTTACACTTCTGTTTTCACGATTTCCCCTAATTTGCTACTCTATCCATATTACAACCTCCATTGAATTCATTCAACCTCCAACATTAATTTCAACCCCCCAAACAGTAATAAAATTTATCTTTCTCTGAACATAACCTAATTTTTGTTAGCCTTTAAATCTAACAACACCTAAATTTTCTCAAAAAGCAAAAAATCGCAATTAGAGTTATCATTAGTGGGACCCATTATTCCACCTTTTAGCCAACACAATTGTCTGATTAAGATTTTTGTGGTCATTATAGGATCCAAATTGAGCTTGAAATAATAATAATAATAAAAAAAGCAACAAAAATGCCTCATTTTGTATGCCTCAATTTGCATGACGTCATTTTTTTAAGCAAAAAAATTGTTTGAATAGGGTTATAGTAATTTTGGTTCATAAGGGTTCAAATTGAACTTGCGACATGTCACATGATTAAAATTCCCATCACGGAAGGAATGGCTAAGTCTAAATCTATTTTATTTTCTTAGGTTATCTTTTATCAAAATGTTCCTTATTCCAGCTAAATAATGTCCCTTATTCTAGCTAGATTAGTCCGTTAAAGTTTTCAGATAATATCCTTCACCATCATATGTCATTCCTTTGTTTTTTATCTTCAAAAAGGTAAAAAAAGAATGTCACCACCGCGATCGTGCCGCCAGTTTAGTGGCGCAAATATTGTAGTCGTAATTATAATGTTAATGGCTTCTCCTCAATTCCACCACTTCACTTTATTCTGATTCTCTCTCCTCTCTCTCTCTAAAACCACCATTGTTACTCTTTCAAATACCGCCATTGCATGCTTTTCTCTTTCATCTTCTACCCCAGATTTCTCATTTTACAGAATCAAACCTCCCAATTCAATTACTTGTGGTAATTTCAATCTCTCTCTCTCTCTTTTTATTTTTAAATTGCTGTTTTTATATTATGAATTTGTTGTAACTTTAATCTTGTATTTTTGCAATTTCTTTGAGCCTTTTTTTCTTTTCGAAGTTGATAATAGTTTGAGAGATAATGCAGATGTAGAAACGCCAATTATGTACTATAATTTATTTTGTTTTGAAATTAATTTCGTAAATTAGAATATTCTGGGGCTATGTATTGTTTTTTGTTTTTGTTGTTGAGTCACTTGAGTGAGCCATTAAATGATTGTGGTATGTAGGCGAGATTCGATTTTCGATACTTCCCGGGCTTTAATCAATTAAACTAGTTGACATCTTTAGGTGAAGTATTATTGAAAATTGTGGTATGGACTATGAAGTTGATATTGTATGATTCTAGGACATTCCAAAATTGTGTCATTTTGGCTTGGTGTTCAGGAATTCAACTTTCAACTTTTCAAGCGTTTATCATTTCTAAGAAAGAATAATTGGACTATTTGTGAATGCCATTCTAGCTTATGATTGGAAAATTGTGTGAATGTGAGAATCCTTTCATGGGGGGATCGGCATCCGCCCCTCGTGTCCTAGCTCAAATAAAGACTTGCTGAAGTTACCATCACTTTGTGTACTAATTTAGTATACTTCTTGATACTTTGCTCTTCCTCCGTTTATTGTTAGATTCAACAGTTTGCATTTTACAAAATTCACATACCCTACTTTAACTCTATGTTTGGCTACTTGTTATATTCGTCTCAATTTATGCTCTCAAAATTTCAACTTTTTAAAATACTTCATATTTAGTTATCAATAATAAAGATCGATATTAGTGGTTAAAGTTAAAGATTGACAAGTGTGAAATTGGAAGTGTTCATTTAAAAAGTAAACGGAGGAAGTTTATGTTGAGATTATCTCTTTTGTGTTTCAGATTTAAGGAGGGAATGCTAACACATTAAGGAATTCTTTATCGCTTTTTGCCACTGTAATATGGAGACCGAAATGAGTGGCAAGAGCAATGATCACTCAAACCACAGGAGAAATTCCACAACAAAGGCAGAAGTTCCTAAGTCTCAAAGTTATAGAGATGTTATGCCAGGGACAGATCTTTGGATAGATGGACTTATCTGCGCTTTTGAATATGTACGAGGTCGACGCAAAGTGCAGAAACATAAGACTTCATCAAAGTTTCCATACTCAAGAAAGGTGGAAAATGATGATCCCCAGAAGCAAACATATACATACGCAGAAGCTGATCCCAGTGTTCAAAATGGGATCTATAATCCAAATTGTTCTTACCATGCAGAGTTGAGATCTTGTCAACTTTCCACTCTGGATGACAACATTGATAATCAAGCTTGCAAAATAGAGCAGTTTCATGAAAGTCGTTGGGTGCCAATTGGTTGGACTAGATTATTTGAACTTGTTAAAGAAGTTCAAATAGATATTGACTGGGAAGCTCAGCAATTTGAGTTCATGGATACAGAGGATGATGTTACTGTGGCGGAATTGGCAGCCCCGTACTGGGAGCGACCTGTTGGTCCTGTTTGGTGGTGTCACGTAGATGCAAGTCACCAGAATATCATTTCATGGCTTGGCAATGCTCAGTGGTTACACCCAGCTGTTAGTATTGCTCTGAGAGATGAAAGTCGCCTGATAAGTGAGCGGATGAAGTACCTTCTTTATGAGGTGATACTTTTGTTTCCATGTGATACTGCATTGTTTCAATAGGACTTCAACCATCTTTAATTCTTCCAATTACCATTTTGAAGGGATATGTTAATACTAGATAGTTTAATGCATAGAGAAACATTTTTGTTAAATTTACAAGATGATTCTTAAAAGCCTTGATGGAGTTATAGAATACTGTCTTTACAGGGCTTGTTCTATCTACTTGCCTACATGTATACAGATCACAGAACATGCAATTGACTAAGCTTAACCTGTTAGAAGTATCCATTATGAGGATCCATGTGAGCAGCCCTGATGGACCTTTGCGTTGTCTTTCTACTGATAAAGCATTACCCTTCTCTATGGATCTGGAATTTCAAATGTTGTCAATTTTTATTCTGCTGAATTATGATTTCGTCAGTGGTTGTTGAGAAACAACACTTTGTTCTTGTTATTGCATTGCACTAAATCTTAGCAGCTTGGCAGCTTGACAATCCCCTTGAAAATTAGATAAACAACCAAGCTGGATTGTGAGTCTGATGCATGTGGTGCTAGCTCAAGTTCGTGTAGTGTTAAATGGGGGCATAACTAATCTGGTGAAAAGCTACTATATTCATGCTTATAGAGCAGATAGCTATTTGCTTTGTCACAGCCACCCTTCAGATATATTTATGATACATGATTATGGAAGATTAAAGCTTAGGATTTAATGTCAATAGTGGGTTAAGTATTGGCGCATAGCTGCTATTTACATGACAAGTAAATAGCATGAATAAGACAAGAGTGGTGAAAAATGTTTTTCTAGTGGTACAATATATAAATTGTCATCAAATATTGTACCACTGTTATCTATAATAGCTATAAATAGTACTACTAAAACAACCTATACTCTAGTAGTATAAAATACATGTGTAATAGTACATTAAAAATACCACTGTAACGATAAAAAATTACAAAAACTAAATGAGTTTACCAATTAACCCTCCTATATGCATCTTAAATATATAGCCACTATGTGCCTAGTTGCACTCTCAATAGTGTACTCTCACATGTTTGGGAGCTCAAAACTTTTGCCTTGTTTAGCTGAACCGGTTATTCAAGTAGTTGCTTGTTGTTTTGGTAGTTTTTAGCTGTTCTAGTTATTAATTGTTTGATATTACTTGTTGGCCAAGCTGATTAAAATATACAGTGACAGGTAAAGTTAATTGTTTATTTGCTGATAGCTGACATTATATGGAAGGAGATGAGTAAAAACATTCTAGATACTACAAACAGCAATATACATGAACAGAATAAAAATCATGTATTTTTGAGTAGAAATGTTTATAGTTTCAGGATTAAACTTATAAAACTTATTAGCCTTTTTGGCAATTACTAGCTGTCATTGTCTCAACTTTTAATCTATTTGCCTATTTGGCTACTGCTACCTTTGAAATACATCTTTCCAACACAGGAAATCAATGTGAATACCCCCCGGTCTGACTCAGTGAAAACTCTCTACCTCTAAAATTGCTTCCGAACATGGCTTTTAGTTCATTATACTGGGGGTCTACTGGATGCCATGTCAGATTGAATTCACATCATGCTTTCCATATGTTTGTATTTGGTTCTACCATGTGAAATGGCCTTCTGTTAGGTAAGGCTGATCTAGGAAAATTCTTCATCGCTTTCTTGCTCTGATGAGAACTGAAAGGAGAGAAGAATTGGTGACTGTGTTAAATTCTAGTGATATGCAAGAACCTGCGAGGGGCAGTGACACCATTGATTCTCCTCATGCTGACTGATACTTGCTTCATCTGAGGTTTGAGCTCCAATGATAATTGATTTGATAAGCCTTCAGGCTTCACCCACTAACTTGCCTATCATCGCCTTCTCCCTTTTTTTTCATGCAGTAATGATCGTACTAGTACTTTTTTAGTGTAGGTCCAAAGTCTAATCATGTCAAGTTATGATTAACATGAAGAGAAATGAAGGGGCGGTATCTATGCTATTATTTACTAGAATATGTACTAATTTTAGAGTTGAACTCAGTACAAGTTGCTTTATATCTTTTGCAGGTCCCAGTGAGGGTTGCAGGTGGGATATTGTTTGAGCTTTTGGGGCAGTCAGCTGGTGATCCGGTGGTTGAAGAAGATGACATTCCTGTGGTTCTACGTTCTTGGCAAGCACAAAATTTTCTGGTAACAGCTATGCATGTTAAGGGATCTACATCAGATGTAAATGTCTTGGGCGTGATGGAAGTACAGGTGCACCCCTTGTCAATGATATTTAATAGCCGTTGATAGTAGGTCATCCTGTATCATTTATATATAGAGTATATTAAAACATTGCTTTCTTGATTTCTTTTTCCCAGGAACTTCTTATTGCAGGTGGTTATAATGCGCCAAAAACAATACATGAAGTCATTGCACATCTAACTTGTCGTCTTGCGCGTTGGGATGATAGGTAATTCCATTCAGACTCCTTTTTTTCCCTCCTACATGAAGTCATGGCACATTGTAATGATTTGAGATTGATAGCCTAAAGCTTTTAACCTATCCTTTTGTAACCTTTCAGCCATTATCAATCAAAGACTCAAGCTTTTGGCTTTAAATTTCTTGTTCAATAGAACTTATAATCTGAAAATCCTAGTTTATTACACACATCCTACGCCACACACTTTTTAAATATTTCTCTTCCCTCACATCCGTTACTTTTACATAAACTATTCACCCACTATCAATTTTTTATTATTCATTTTAAAGTCCCCAACAAACCCCACTTACACAATATTTTAACAAATTCAAATCAGCTGCATAAAACTTTGTGCCGATCAAAGTGTTGTTATTTATATCAAAAAAAAAAAAAAAAAAAAAAAACCGGATGGAGTACATATGACACAACTATACCATGTACAAACTTAGAGTACTGCACTTCTGCTGCTTTCCATTTGTCTACTTAAAAGGTGGCAAAGGAATCCAACAATAATTGTTCATCAATCTCATCGTGATGCTGACAAAGAAGTCACATGAAAAAGTTCTGGCTGCACGATCCTCTCAAGATAATATATAGGAGTTCCCAAACATAAAATTCAACCAACTAACACACCCCCCCCCCCTCCCTGGCAGGATATCACTGTCCTTACTTCCCTTACGACCAGCGCGTTTCACCTATGCTGAAGTGCTTACCCTACTTTCCATTTGGCATCCAAAGGAATCATCCATTACCATTGTCAAGAGGGTATTCAATCATTATCTCTTAACCATAACCCCTGTATTTTGTATTATGTGATCAGCTCTAGTGAGAGTTCAATAGGTCTCACTGGATGATTCTTATTCAGTTTCAATGAAATTGGGTTTTCTAGTTTTGTTGCTTGCTATTATCTGATCACACCAACATCTAATTTAGTATCAGTAATTTTCTTTTCTGTATAAAAGGCTAGACATTTCTTGCAACTAAGTTTGTTCTTGGTATGTTGTCTTTGGTCGGGGGGGTAGACCTTATGCACAAACGACCCCATGTTTGTACTGTTATCTTACCTCCATGAACTATGTATTATTACCATCATTATTTATGACGGCTCTAGACTTCCTAGTATATATTGGAATCTAGATTTCGTCTTAAGAAGTCTTTGTGAGGGATCTGGAGGATATGCCTGCTTTTATTTCCATAGACTGTCTTATTGTTTTGTTCAAATATATATGATGTAGCTTTTTAAAAATATGGCTCAATCTCATGTAATTTCTTTCGGTCCCTTTCCTCCCTACAATTTACACTGCTTGTTTAAACTTGTAATGACTTCTCTAAGAAAGTTCTCCGAGGTAAAAGAATTCACCTGTATTCAATATTGGCAGTCTTCTTCTGTGAGACTGTGACAAACCTTATGACGTGCTCTCCTGTGGGGTTGTATGCATCTCTTTAAATAGATAAATGGTTTGTCCCAGAAGCATGGTGAAAAATGAGGATATTTCACTTATGTGTCCCTTTTCTCAGAATATGGGCAATACTCTTTTAGTGTTAGAGTGGAGAGGATTGTGTTATGTATATCTGAGTACCTGATAGCTTCGTTTCACCAAGGATTTTATTCCATGAAGGAAAGTTGGAGAATTTTGGTGGAGATGTGTGTTACAATTATGCCTTGGTTAGGACGGAAGAAATTTAAGAGAGAGATTTGACCTTTGTAATGGCTTGGAGTAAAAATGACACTTTGTCTTCTCCCTGGCTTTTGGCATATTGCCATGAATTTGTGGCCAGGATTGGTTTGCTACTTATTTAAAAATATTGATGCTCAGATGTGTGCATTAAAAATTGTACAAAAAGCAAACAAGAACTTAAAGAAATGGAGGAAGTATAAATTTTAGATTTTGACTCAACAATTAAGAAATTTTTAATTGTGGATATAAATCCAACAAATTGTATGCCTATCTGTTGCTACTCTACCAGCAATTCATCAACCCTTGCTATTTTTTCTCATTCTGTTTTGCATCTGTCAATTTTGCAACACAAATTTTATCTTCCTAATCTACCATATTATAATATAGAATTTGCAAACAATTTTGACCAATTAAACTCAACTCATCATTACTTTGTCATTTATGATATATCATCAGAAGCCTTGGAAAATTGAAAAAGAATTATTACTAAACTGGAAAACAAAGATGTAGTTATAAACACCAAATCTAAAACAATAATTAAAAAGCAGAGGAAATAATGTCAAACCCACTTGTTGCTGTACATCTGTACTCTTTCTTATACTAATTTGTAATGTTTTAATCATACATCTGGTATCATATCCTTTTTCTGAATGTTTGGCTTATTTGCGTTTTGCTTTATAGATTTTATAGGAAATCCATATTTGGTACTGCAGATGAAGTTGAATTGAAGTTTGTGAACAGGTATTAACTTATCAATCGTAATTTGTATCCATTTAATCTATTAAGTTGAATATAACTCTCACATTTTGTTTTTGTCTATACTACAATGTTGTATGAATAGGAGGAATCACGAAGATTTGCATCTTTTTGGCGTGATTCTCAACCAAGAAATTAGAAAGTTGTCAACACAGGTAATATCTTAATTAAGCTCGTTGTTTATGATACAATTATGACTAAACCATTATCAGCTTTATAAATTTGATTATATTTGCATAGCATTGGGACTTAGTGAGTCTTGAGCGTGAGCGGCTTGTGATTTTGATAAAAGAAAACTGTGGAAGTTGTATTGCACTGGCAAGATCTGAGTATCTTCACTTATTTGGTAACAAAAAGAAAGTAAGGTTATGAGGTGCAATCTTGAAATGCAATGAGCACTAAGTTACTAAGCTGTGAGGTTTCCACAGAGGCCAATAATGCAGGTGGTCCTAAGTACAACTCTCCCTATATAATGAAGATGGTAAATACCTTCCAAGAAATATTCAAGATGATTAGGAAATCACATAATATGAAAGGCTTTCTGTTTCCTTTTTTTTTTTTTTTTTTTTTTTTTTTTTTTTTTTTTTTAAATTTTAAATTTTTTTATTTATTATTATTATTATTTTATTTTATTTTAAAGTTTACTTTTTTACTTAAGGGGATACATTTGAGGGAGCTGTTCAGTGAGGTTTTGTTTTTATTAGACCATTAACTGGGTCATCAACTGCCCTTGTAACTTTTCAAGAACAAAATGAGTGTACTGTCTTTGATTTGGTATTTTTCCTTATAATTCTGAAGCTATGCTTTTGAAAGGGTTTTGCCTGCTGCACTTGTGAAGTTCATTTTATTGTTAATTCATTTCTTTCCAAATATCTCTCTATTTGCCTTTTCCTTTTAGTACCTTTTTTCCCCCCCTTTCCGGTGCACTATTCTTAGTATTCTTTGGTGCATTTAGAATGATGTGCTTGTTAGTAAATGGAACATTGTTATCTCAATTTAACCGAGCTGTAGTTTCTGCAAGTAATCATCTCATTACTAGAAGAAGTTCTGACATCTGAACCTTTTCAATTGTCCCCTTTCTGTCATTTGAAATTGCTACATTATTGCATCTCACATCAATTATTCATATTTCATTTTATTATTACTAGGTCATTAGGGTCAAGTGGTCACTCCATGCAAGGGAGGAGATCATATTTGAGCTTCTCCACCAGCTACGCGGTAGTGCAGCTAGAAGCTTACTGGATATGGTAAAAAAGAGTACAAGACAAATGCTTGATGAACAAGAGGCAGTTCGTGGTCGCTTATTTACAATTCAAGATGTAATGCAGAGTACTATTCGTGCATGGCTGCAGGTTTGTATCTGTGATAGAAGTGTTTTTATACTGATTTTTTCTTCCCAGTGATGGGCTTGCAAGCCAAAGCAATTTTAATATTTTATTTTTTGTATTTACTTGTGCAAAAATTAAGCAGAAATAGATGTCCACTTTCTTGTCATATTATCATAGGCTTAACTGCCTACAGCTCTCATGTGGCCTCATTAGTGGTTTTTTCAGCTAACAGCTTGCATTTTAGCAGGGAGAGAATTGTGTTGGTTGAAGGGACAAACTATTGTCTCCATTTTAAAATTGATGCTAGGCTTGCGTGAAAGCTATTTCTATTGCTTAATGCCTTAAATGAATAGTGTTTAAATTTCGGTTTTTCAGCTAATAGTTTTTGTTTATTATTATAACATACACTGGGATATTTTGATCCAGGATCGAAGCCTTCGAGTTACACACAATCTAGGTGTCATTGGTGGATGTGGTCTTGTTTTATCTATCATAACTGGGCTGTTTGGTATCAATGTCGATGGCATTCCCGGTTCTGAGAACACACCATATGCATTTGGTCTATTTACAGCACTTCTAGTGGTTATAGGGGCTATTCTGATTGGGGTTGGCTTAATATATCTTGGGCTAAAACAGCCTGTCAATGAAGAACAGGTAGAGGTGAGGAAAATGGAACTTGAGGAGTTGGTGAAGATGTTCCAGCACGAGGCAGAAACTCATGCCCAAGTTCGCCAAGAAAATCCACGGAAGAGTTTGCCATCCACTGCCAGAGATCAGTTTCCACGCGATGCTGATTATGTGATAATTCAATGAAAACATGAATTTTCAGTTAGGCTCGAAGTCAGCTGGAAACCTTTCTGTTTACTATTTGCTCTGAACTTCTGAAGATAGTGAATCGATAACAGAAATTCTCTCCCATGCTATGCTGTGTTCAGACAACTTATGATGACCGCCAGCGCTGGTCCTTAGTGAGATTTAACGCTAGCTGGTAGGATTTTTCAACATTGATTATGAGCAGCAAAGGAGTTGATACTGTGTTAGAGGCTAGGCTCCTGTAAAGAAAATCTTTGTGCATATATTGAATGATATAAAGCCGTGTCAAGGCACTGGTACTACAAATTGTAGTATGAATGTCAATGCAATTATAGAAAAGGATTTATTCATTTTTTTTTTAATTTATTTTGTATATTTTTGCGGTGTGAATTCTTCGTTAATTACTCTAATTTTTTTATCTTGGAAAATTTTCCAGTTTGGTGCTTGATGGTTGGTTCATTCAACTTTGGTGCTCTAAGTTTTATACTTGTGTAAAACTTTGATGTCCGCACTTGGGAGATTTATATCATTGTCACTTTAACGTACGGTTTACTTTGTTAATCAAATTGCATTAAAAGGGGTTCGAATCCCCTAAGTTTATACAGAAACTGTGTTTCAATTTGGTGCTTTATGGTTTGGTCAATCCACTTTGGTGCTCTAATTTTTACACTTTTATAATACTTTGATGTGCAAAGATTTATATTATTGTCCATTTTTATAGCATACCGATTGGTAATGGCACGGTGACAAAGACTGAGGGCTTGACGATAGGTAACAAGTTTGAATTTCCCACCTCCATTTGCTATTTGTAATGCCCTTGTGACTCATTCATATAATAATAACAAAAAAATAAAACACACCTCTATGTGCACTGTATAGTGTTTCTCTCTCTTTTTAAGTAAGACTAACAAAATTTAAGTGTGTTACAAAGATGAGCTTTAGAGCAACTAATGACCTAAGTGAAAAAAATGGTAAAAAGAAAAAGCAGTGTATTAAAGCTAAATTACTTAACGAGGCATTGAACACCAAAGTAAACAAAGTTTTTTAAGGGCATCGATATGGAATTATCAAACTACAAGGCATTAAAGTGCAATAATGCTTAAATTTGTAAAGCACCAAAGTACAACGACATGGGACGGTGGAAGTAAAATTTATTGTTAGATTATACTCCGTATTTGTTTTGACGAAAGAGCTTTTGATCAGAATTTTAAATGTCCTGGTATTTTCTGCTCTTTTTTTTTTTTTTCATTTTAAAATTTTAAGAGCAAAAAACTACTTTTGGCCTTTTGGGTGCACATACCTTTATGTACACCCGGATATATATAGAAGGTGTTGAAATGAAAGGGAATCACGATTAAAATTTTGGTTCTCTTGCCGACCCAAACTCCTCAGATCATGATTCTCTTGAATCAGGACCGTCCACTCCTTCTAACGTCTGAGACAAATTTCTTTCGTAGCCGGATGATTCATCTCCAGACTCCTCCAAAATGGAAGAGCCGGATGTGCTTGGTAGACTTTAGGGGGGGGGGGGGGGGGGCTTGGAGGATATTCGGATACCTCGCTAGCCGACGCTCTAATTGTGCTACCTCCCCCAGATGGGTCTAATTTGGCGGTCTTTTTGGTTCTTGCCATAGTGTCTTGCGTATACACGTAAACGGTCAGACGACTCCAAGAATAATAAAAAGGGGAGTCCCCGTGAGGAAAGACAACACTCCTAGTCCTAAACTCAGCTGTACCAAGTAGCCGACCAACTCTATGTGAGGACGCCGAGTGTGTTTTGTGAAACCATTGAAATAAAAAGGCAAATGCAAATGGTATAGGCAGAATCTAAGAATAAACTCAAGATAGAGGAGGCAGTTACCTTTAAAAAGCTTGAAGTGTTGGAAGTTCTTAGACGGCTGGAAATCAGCTGGACGGCAAACACAGACGACAACGGGATATATTTTTTCTCTCTTGAATGCTTTGACTTCATTCTAAAAACGATTTTTGGAAAGGTAAAAAGCTAGTGAAAGGCAATTTGTTCTATTTATAGAAGTTAAATAGAAGAGTAGTTTGGGGAAAGCCAATGAATAGTTGGAAAGCTTGACTACCAAGTCCACGTGGCTGAAGATTATCACGAGTGGTTACTTGGCTGTCCACGTCACCACCCATGAGGGGCAAATATTTAGGGTAAAAATACCCATGACACATGAACCAATGATGCAGCGACACGTGTCCTTCAAGCTCAATTCTCAAAGAGCCAATTAGAGCCTAACACGTGGCACCTAGTAAAAACACGCGACAGGGTAAAAACGCGCTTTTAGCCCAAAACCTTAGAAACCGTAAAATGGTGGAAGCCTATTCACTTAGGTTAAGTAACCTAAAAGACACGCATCCAAAGCACTATATATACTAATCATAGATCAATAAAGATAATTAATTACACACACTGAAAACAAAGATAATTACTAAGGGATTTATGTTTTCGTCAAGTGCAATTACTAGATATATCATGGATCAATGTTATGGAGATAATAAGTTCATTCTTTTGGGTCGTCATTGTCTGTTGTTAGATATGATAAAGGATAAATTAGAAAATAACACCCCAAAATTGTCACGATTTTGATTATAACACCACAAAAAAAAAACTTTTATTATAACACCACAAAAAAAACCAAAAAATTGGTTTCACCACCACTTAACTTTGTCATCCAAAAAAACCGTTAAGTGGGCCTCACATAGTACACGTGTCAATCAACTATTGGATTAAAAAGAAAATTAAAAAAAAGGAAATACCCTATAATCCTAACCCAGCCACCACCCCCACCATCAGCGCCGGTTCCCAAGGCCGTCAACCCTACCCTACCACGGCCATCACACAAACCCAGCCTTCATCACTGTCTCCCTGACCTGAAACTGTCACCGAACCACCCAGACCCCAACCCAAACCAGCCCAACCCCCATTGTCGTCTCCCCGACCCGAATCCATCGCCGAACCACCCAAACCCCAACCCTAACCAGCCCAGCCACCATCGCCGAACTCCTCTACCCTACCCAAAGTCGTCGCTAAAGCCCCGACCCACACCGGCACACCCATACCCAAACCCACAAACCGCCCTACTCCTCTCTCCCTCACCTGAAACTAAATCGGGGCTGGTTATTTGGTGGGTACGGTTGGGCTGATTTCGGCGGTCGAGGGTGGTCAGTTGGGATTGGGTGACGGTGGTGGGGGATGGGTTGGAGAACGATGGTAGGAACCCGCAGCGTCGATGGTGGCTGGATAATTTTAAGGTTTTTCCTTTTTTTTTTAAATTTTCTTTGTTTTTTATTTTTTTTAATCCAACACACAATTGACATGTGTACAATATAGAACCCACTAACGGTTTTTTTGGATGGAAAAGTTAAGTGGTGGTGAAATCAAAATTTTGGGTTTTTTTTAGTGGTGTTATAATAAAAGTTTTAAAATTTGTGGTGTTATAATCAAAATCGTGGCTTTTTTGTGGTGTTATTTTATAAATGATCTTTGGGCTAAAATAGTCCAAATCCCAATATAATGGATCCTATGAGATCACACATAAGGGTGATGGATTGAACAAAGTAAGAGACCCACTAATTGGGCCTCACATGGATATGGCCGCCACATGGAGAAATAAGGAGGGAGTAATTTGGGTTGGATTAGGTATTTGGGCTTCAATAAGAATATCTAATTATACATGAGATGTATAAATAGATGTCATGCCTAGGTTAGGCATACAAGTCACAAAACACTAGATCAGTGAATTGTGAAGCAAGCAACCAAACTCTAACCCTCCCTCTCTCACACGCCTCTCTCCACTTTCTCCCCTCCTGTCCACACGTCCGTACGGACCACCGGCACAAGGTGGTCGAAGGTGGTGGTTTGTGGCTCAGTCTTATCCTTCCCTCTCCGTAGAAGGTGGTTTGAATTGATCGTGCCTGACTAACTAGCATCAGTGGAGGCTAGCTCGTGGACCAAGTAGAGGAATATCGTTTGAGGTTCTTATTCTCCCAAATTGTTCTTGCTCGATGACTCGTGGAATCACGCTTCAAAGTTATAATTATGTGTTTCTTTATGTGTTGTGCATAGATCCTGTTTTAGATTCTTATGAATATGATTCATGCAATTCCGTTTAGAGTATCTAAATCCCTATAGTGGTTCTTAGCCTAATGCATGTACGCATATTGATCATAATTCTTTGATGTCCACACATTTTAATTTAATTAATAGGGAGAATAATTTAATTATGGGTCAATTATTATTTTAAATGTGATTTAACATATGGAATCGTTAAATATGATTTAATTTTCTCGAATTTAGCCTAATTTTGGACCGAATTTAGCCCTATTAAGTTCCAAAATTCGAACCCCCCAAACCCTAGATCCGAAAATTCGAAACCTTAAACCCCTAAATTCGACTTTGGTGTTTTGTGTTTTGAATAATTTTGATTGCTTATTGTTTTATGAATTTAATTTAATTAATTTCATGTATAAATTGTGAATTTTGCATGATCATTGATTTAATTTAAGAGCTAAATTAAATTGGGAATTATTTCATGAATAACCTTAATTTTAAAATTGAATATAATTTATTTTAAATTACTTGGACTAATTTAATTTAATTTAACAAGGGTTGTTTTAATTAAATTAAAACACAAAAAAAAAAAAAAAAAACTGTTTTATGGCTGATTTTGGTGGCAGCCGCGGCTGGGTGGCGTAGCCACGGTGGCTACCGCCGATTCTAGTCTAAGAGGCAGGGGGGTGGGCAGCATGTCCGAGTGAAGGCAGCAGCAGCACCGTGCAAGGGTTGCGCGGACTTTCTGCTGTTGCTGCTGTTGCGTCGCTGCTTGCGGCAGGGTACATCGTAAGGTGTACGACCATCGTGGCTAGCTTCGCCTGGCAGACCACAGTGGTTGGTGCACGATTTTTCAAAAAAAAAAATATTTTATATTAAAATTCGAAATAAAAATCAGATTTTATTTTGAAATAACATCAAATTTAAAAGTTATTTTGATAAGTTTTCAAAATTAAAGCTATTAATTTTGAGGTTGTTAGGATATTTTGAGCAAAAGATTTTATATGGATAGTAATTGATTTAATAATGAGATTATCCCATAATTGTTTTAGAAGATAATTGATTTTAAGATTATGTGATTGGCTAGTAATTAGGATATAATCTCCTAAGTTAGTTATGATATCATGGAGAATAAATATAATTTATCTTTCCAGATTAAAATAAGATTTGTATCTATCTCATGCCTATATTAAAATATATGATATTTAATAAATTGTCATGAATAATATATGATATTATCTAGTTACAGATTAAAATATGAAATAATTTGGTACCATGTTTCCTTAATTATGAACATTCGATGTTGTAGTTTAGGCAAGCATGTTTTCGTGATATTTATTATGTGGCAATTTTACAATATATGATATTATGTTGCTATATAATGACTAGTATGGCCCAATAGATTACTAAATACGATCTGCGCATCGTGATGTATTTTTGTAATTTAAATACTGTCTGCGTGCACTAGTGGAAATAAAAATGGACATTGCTACGGTTTTTTTAGGGGTTTTTGCTACGGTTTTGAACCGTAGTGGGCGTAGTGAATAAGGTAAGTTATTTGCTTTGGTTTACAACCGTAGCGTTTTAAAGTTATTTGCTACGATTTTTTGAAATAACCATAGCGTTTTTGTATTTTCCGCTAAGAACACCGTAGCGTTTAACAATCTTTTGCTACTGTTTTTAAAGTAGAACCATAGCGTTTTCCTTACGTTTTTATTTATTTATTTTTTAAAAAAAATCAGCAGCCTGCAACCTGTATATTTTCCTTGTATATATTTGTACATGTATATATTTTTACACACACGCACACACGCACGCACGCGCACACACGCGCGCGCGCGTACACACACACACATATTCCATGTGTATTACAAAGTACAATAAACAAAACATTCATCAAGTATATTTCTAATCTAAATTCCAAACTAAACTAGAAACGAACATGAAGTTCAACAACAAGTATCATGAAGTTCAACAACAAGTATCGGTAAAAAAATTGGGCCAACTTGTCTCGAACTTCGTCGATCTTTGTAGTAGTGAATGACCCTTTTTCTTGTCGTCTTGGAAACCTATAATAAGACACATTATAAGAGAAGTATATTATAACATAATAAAAAATAAAGTTACATAAATTTATGGCGTAGAAACTCATAACTAATAAGTACTTAAGGCATGGTTTGAGTGTACTTTATTCATATACATTAAAACATGGAAAACAGGCAAGTTACACGTCATTTTGCCCATTTTGGAACCTTTTTGGTCTTATGAGTACTCTTAAAATTAGGTAACTTTGAATATTTTTATGACATTACAAGTCATAGAAACACATAACTAAGTACTTTAGACATGATTTGAGTTTTGAGTGTTATTTTACTCAATCATGGAATTCGGGCAAATTTGAAGTCATTTTGCCCATTTTTAGTTTACTTTGGACTCAATAAGTCAATAAACTAAGTAAATTGGCATATTAAAGGTATTTAAAGACATACACTTATAACTAAGTAATTTAGATATGATAAGAATATTATTTTACTCATTCACTTAAACACATGGAAAATGGGCATGTTAGAAGTCATTTTGCTTATTTTGGGACCACTATGGTCATATTTAGTCCCAAAACTAAGTAACTTGGTAAATTAATGGTATTATTGGTCCTAGATATTCATAACTAACTAATTTAGACATGATATGAGCGTTCTTTTATGCATTTACTTCAAAACATGAAATTGGGCAAAGTAAGAGTCATATTATTCATTATGGAACCATTTTGGTCATGTGTAGTCCCAAATCTATGTTACTTGACAAATTAAGGGTATTTAAAGACATAGAAACTCACAACTAAGTACTTAAGACATGGTTTGAGTGTTACTTTATTCATATACATTAAAACATGGAAAATAGGCAAGTTAGAACTTAGAAGGCATTTTGCCCATTTAGGAACCTTTTTGGTCTTATGCATTCTTAAAATTAGGTAACTTCAAATATTTTGCCATTTAAAGTCATAGAAACACATAACTAAGTACTTTAGACATAATTTGAGTGTTATTTTACTCATTCACATTATAACATGGAATTCGGGCAAATTTAAAGTCATTTTGCCCATTTATAGTCTACTTTGGTCTGAATAAGTGTATAAAATAAGTAAATTGGTATATTAATGGTATTTAAAGACATAGGCAATCATAACTAAGTAATTTAGACATGATAGGAGTGTTATTTTACTCATTTACTTAAACACATAGAAAATGGGCATGTTAGAAGTCATTTTGGGACCATTATGGTCATGTTTACTCCCAAAACTAAGTAACTTGGTAAATTAATGGTATTATTGGTCCTAGATATACATAACTAAGTAATTTAGACATTATATGAGTGTTCTTTTATGCATGTACTTCAAAACATGAAAATTGGGCAAAGTAAGAGTCATATTATTCATTATGGAACCATTTTGGTCATATATAGTCCCAAATCTATGTTACTTGACAAATTAAGGGTATTTAAAGACATAGAAACTAATAACTAAGTACTTGAGGCATGGTTTGAGTGTTACTTTATTCATATACATTAAAACATAGAAAACAAGCAAGTTAGAACTTAGAAGACATTTTGCCCATTTAGGAACCTGTTTCGGGGTTTTTTGATGTGTCCTGCAGGAGAGTTACTTCATCAAGACTGGATCCTCACTCTCCTGTATCTGTAACAAACGGAAGCTCCGGTTGTTCGGATTCGCCTCCGACGATCAAGTTAGAATGTGTTGAAGTTGGGTAAAATGCGGAAAGTAAAGTAAGATCTTCTCGGTTCTCGAGATCAGGTACTTTCTCTGTTGTAAGAGAATAATTGATGCAATAAATGATTGTACGTGTCTCCAAAATGGGGTAAATGTCCCTATTTATAGGGCATTGGGAAAGGTGCCCTTCCGTAGGTCACTTAAACCTACGTTGGTGGGTTGCGCCGTTTTTCGACACCTCGAGAATTGGGCCTTTGAAGGCCGCCATTTTCCTTCATCATCATCATCGTGCCACGTGTCTCATCCTGGTTGGCCCATTTTGGGCACTTCCTAGGGTGACACGTGTCACACTCTGATTCGACCACGTGGCTTGGGTATTTTTTACCCTAATCATTGGCCTCTCATAGAGGTGATGTGCTGTGCCACATGGCGCCTGTGACACTTGTCACACATGCAATGGTGACGGTTTTTTAACCGTTTCACCTTCTGGGGAAATTACAGGGGTGCCCCTGAAATTTTACCCTTATATAAATAGCTTTTACTCCCCCCCCCTCATTTTTGCACGTTCACAAAAAATCTTCGAGAGAGAATTTGAATTTTTGAGAGAATTTTTTCCGCCGCTTGTGTTCTGTCCGCCTGCATCGCGGCTGTCACAAGTCTCAAAAGTTCAACAATACCTTCTTTTTACAAGGTAACCGCCTATTTCTCTCATCTCTTTCTTGCTTTATTTTTAGTATGTGTTTGCTTTATTTTCAAAAATGGTTTCACAAACACACACGACACGGCCTAGAATAGCTGTCAGCCGGTCACCGGGGATGGCTGAATCTAGGACTAGGAGTACCGGCTGCCCCTACTTGGACTACCCCCGGAGAACATCCCCGAATCTGACCGTCTCTGTGCCTGTGCAGGACACTATGGCCAGAACGAAGAGAACAAGCTGAGAGCTCAATAGAGATGGTACCCTTAGGGTGCCGGCTAGTGAAGTCTTTGACCATTCTCCCAGCTCTACGAGTACTCAAGGTGACTCCATTTTGGACGAGTCAGGAGATAAACCTAGGAGTAGTACTTCTAGCTCTGTACAGGGATCGTCCCATTCGGACGCTGAATTAGGAGGCTCTAAGGTTGGATCAGGGCCGTCTGCATTAAATAGGGAAGATGAGAGCTCCGATGCCGAGTCTGAGCCATCGACATCGATCGGTGAGGCCGCCTTTGTAGAGAGGGGGAGAGGAGATACTTCTACCTCTCCTCAAGAGGAGTTTGCCCCTTATTTCACCCATATCACCGCAAACACACACAAAACCATGTCCAAGAAATTGGACGAATTCCGCGACACCAATGTCATTGGGGGTGGTTATGAAATCCATGTCCCTGACTTGGATGACACGGTCGTCTGGATGTTTGGGTCCAGCTATGGGGATCAATGCTTTGGTTGTTACGAAGCAACCATTCAAGTAGGCCTTAGATTCCCTCTCCATCCGGCTGTGGAGAAGATTCTTGATGGGTACCGTCTGGGTATCTGGCAACTTGCTCCCAATTCTTGGGTGAACATACATACTGGGGTATGTTGAGCCGTACTTTGAAGCATTTTCCAAGATGCATTATATAAGCAAGGCTCCAAAAGCACACGACGCCGAATGGTACACCTTGACCATTCACAAAGGATACATGATGGCGGTCGGCAAGGAATCCAAATGAAAGGTTTGGCGAAAGAGATTTTTTATTATTTCTTCGCCGGATGCCAAGAGGCACCGGAAGTTCAACTTTTGGAACCAAAGGCCCTATCTCCTAGGGATCAGATTCTTACACCCGACCTATTCAAAGTCACCATTACAACTATAGGGGGGAAGAATGAGAAATAAATAATCCCCAATAGCTACATTCCTAGGTTTGAGTGGTTGTCAGACGAGACATATTTGGCCGCTTGCGGCCTTAGCACTGAGAAACCAAGAGGTAGATTGCCGAATGTAGACTTCTATCTTGATAATTTGCCTAAGCTTCTCATTCATTCTTATTATTTTTTTGTTGCTTACATCCGGCGTATTCTTTGCAGACGAAGCAATGGAGCACATCTCTTCAGTCAAGAAACCCGCCACCTCTGCGGCCGCCTACCGAAAGATCGCCAAGAAGAAGGCTTAAAAATTCTTACAGGAGCAGCTGGCTCATGTAAGTTTCTCAATTCTTAGAATTTCTTAACTTTTTAATTTAGAATACATGCAGCCTTCACCGCCTGACTTTTTCCTTCTCTGATTTTTATTTTGCAAGAAGGGCACCTCCTCATTTGTAGAAGTCGTAGAAGCGTTCAGCTGCGGATGTACAGACGCCCAACAAGTCAAGGAAGATTGTGGTGCATCGAACTCCCTCGGCTGCTAAGTTTGGGGACGACTCTCACCCTTCCACTGGCGACAAGTCGCCCGCCTCCCTTGAAGCTCTAAAGAAGCCGAACACCGATAAGGTGTCGAAGAGTGGCAAGCCACTCACCGCTGCTACTGGCTCAACAGCAGCAGCAGGCGGGCACCAGTAAGACGGACACCGTGAGAGGCGTCCGAAGGATAGGGAGGTTGCCATCCCCCAAGGTATTACCGCCTTTAATCCTTGGCCTTACCCTTGTAGGGTCAAGTCTTACCAGTAGTCGCCTAGCAGCTCGGAAGACACTCGGTCTATTGCTTGAGCTTATGTCAGCTACTTACAAGATATTGAATGTAAAGATGCTAGCCAGAGGCTGGACGTTTAGCAGTTTGCTAAGATCATGCTCAAGGCCGTCTCTCCAGCTGAGAAGGCGGATGTGAGGGGAGTTGGAACCCTCAACTTCGAGGCCATCACTGCTCTTCTTGCTGAGGTAAACTGACTTAAGTTAGAAAATTTTTCCCCTCCTTTATGCTGATTGTATTTGACAAGTTGTTTTTCCCGGATGCAGGCTATGCTACGGGTGGACGGGCTCAAAAAATCGTTTGCTGATAAGCAAACAGAGGTAAAAAGTGCTAAGGAGCGGGCCGCCTCTGCACTCGATAGAGCTCAGTTTGACATTATGAAAAATGAGTTATTGACTCGTGTTGTCCTGTATTCACAGGCGGAGGCCAACCTGTAGGTCAAGGCCAAGTTGGAAGCAGCCAACAAAAGAGTGGCCGAGTTGGAGGTTGAATTAAAAACTGCCCACTCCAACCTCAAGGCCTTGGAGCACGCTAATCAGGAGGCCGACAGACTCTGAGATCGGTATAATGCCCTAAAGAAGTAAATGGCCAACTTTGAGATTGAGCTAAGAAATGAGCTGAGGGCCAAAGCTGAGGCGGAGAAGGTGAAGCTGATTGCTGAGAATGAGGCCGACTGCGAGACAAGCATGAAGAC